AAAAGTAACATCAATCCTCATGAACGTGAAAAAAATGAAATTTAAGGACGAAATGATTTTTTTTAATGATGAGGATTGATGCTGCTCTCCTTGGGATACATGCTAGGGTACATCCACTATTGTCATGTGTGAAGTCGAAAAGTAACATAAATCCTCATAAACATTAAAAAAATGAAATTCAGGGAAGAAATTAATTTTTTCAAAATTATGAGGATAGATGCCGTTCTACTAGGTAGGATACATGGTAGGGTACATGCACTTTTGTGATGTGTTCAGTCGAAAAGCAACATCAATCCTCATAAACGTGAAAAATGAAATTTAGGGACGAAAATGATATTTTTTGAAATTATGAGAGTTGATGCTGCTCTCCTTGGGATACATGGTAGGGTACATGCACTTTTGTGATGTGTTCAGTCGAAAAGCAACATCAATCCTCATAAACGTTTAAAAATGAAATTTAGGGACAAAAATGATATTTTTTAAAACTATGAGGATTGTTGCCGCTGTCCTTGGGATACATGGTAGGATACATCCAGTAAAGTGATGTGTTCAGTCAAAAAGTAACATCAATCCTCATAAACGTGAGAAAATGAAATTTAGGGACGAAAATGACTTTAAAATTATCAGGAATGATGCCGCTTTCCTTGGGACACATGGTAGGGTACATGCACTAATGTGATGGTTCAGTCGAAAAGTAACATCATCGTCATAAACGTAAAAAAAATGATATTTAGGAACGAAAGTTATATTTTTCAAAACTATGAGGATTAATGCCGCTGTCCTTGGGATACATGGTAGGATACATGCAGTAAAGTGATGTGTTCAGTCAAAAAGTAACATCAATCCTCATGAACGTGAAAAAAATGAAATTTAAGGACGAAATGATTTTTTTTAATGATGAGGATTGATGCTGCTCTCCTTGGGATACATGCTAGGGTACATCCACTATTGTCATGTGTGAAGTCGAAAAGTAACATAAATCCTCATAAACATTAAAAAAATGAAATTCAGGGAAGAAATTAATTTTTTCAAAATTATGAGGATAGATGCCGTTCTACTAGGTAGGATACATGGTAGGGTACATGCACTTTTGTGATGTGTTCAGTCGAAAAGCAACATCAATCCTCATAAACGTGAAAAATGAAATTTAGGGACGAAAATGATATTTTTTGAAATTATGAGAGTTGATGCTGCTCTCCTTGGGATACATGGTAGGGTACATGCACTTTTGTGATGTGTTCAGTCGAAAAGCAACATCAATCCTCATAAACGTTTAAAAATGAAATTTAGGGACAAAAATGATATTTTTTAAAACTATGAGGATTGTTGCCGCTGTCCTTGGGATACATGGTAGGATACATCCAGTAAAGTGATGTGTTCAGTCAAAAAGTAACATCAATCCTCATAAACGTGAGAAAATGAAATTTAGGGACGAAAATGACTTTAAAATTATCAGGAATGATGCCGCTTTCCTTGGGACACATGGTAGGGTACATGCACTAATGTGATGGTTCAGTCGAAAAGTAACATCATCGTCATAAACGTAAAAAAAATGATATTTAGGAACGAAAGTTATATTTTTCAAAACTATGAGGATTAATGCCGCTGTCCTTGGGATACATGGTAGGATACATGCAGTAAAGTGATGTGTTCAGTCAAAAAGTAACATCAATCCTCATGAACGTGAAAAAAATGAAATTTAAGGACGAAATGATTTTTTTAATGATGAGGATTGATGCTGCTCTCCTTGGGATACATGCTAGGGTACATCCACTATTGTCATGTGTGAAGTCGAAAAGTAACATAAATCCTCATAAACATTAAAAAAATGAAATTCAGGGAAGAAATTAATTTTTTTAAAATTATGAGGATTGTTGCCCCTCTACTAGGTAGGATACATGGTAGGGTACATGCACTTTTGTGATGTGTTCAGTCGAAAAGCAACATCAATCCTTATAAACATGAAAAAATGAAATTTAGGGACGAAAAAGACTTTTTTTAAAATTATGAGGATTGATGCTGCTCTCCCTGGGATACATGGTAGGGTACATGCACTTGTGTGATGTGTTCCGTCGAAAAGTAACATCAATCCTCATGAACGTGAAAAAAATGAAATTTAAGGACGAAATTATTTTTTTTTAATTATGAGGATTGATGCTGCTCTTCTTGGGATACATGCTAGGGTACATCCACTATTGTCATGTGTGAAGTCGAAAAGTAACATAAATCCTCATAAACATTAAAAAAATGAAATTCAGGGAAGAAATTAATTTTTTTAAAATTATGAGGATTGTTGCCCCTCTACTAGGTAGGATACATGGTAGGGTACATGCACTTTTGTGATGTGTTCAGTCAAAAAGCAACATCAATCCTCATAAACATGAAAAAATGAAATTTACGGACGAAAAAGACTTTTTTTAAAATTATGAGGATTGATGCTGCTCTCCTTGGGATACATGGTAGGGTACATGCACTTGTGTGATGTGTTCCGTCGAAAAGTAACATCCATCCTCATAAAGGTAAAAAAAAGAAATTTAGGGACGAAAAAGACTTTTTTTAAAATTATGAGGATTGATGCTGCTCTCCTTGGGATACATGGTAGGGTACATGCACTTGTGTGATGTGTTCCGTCGAAAAGTAACATCCATCCTCATAAAGGTAAAAAAAAGAAATTTAGGGACGAAAAAGACTTTTTTTAAAATTATGAGGATTGATGCTGCTCTCCTTGGGATACATGGTAGGGTACATGCACTTGTGTGATGTGTTCCGTCGAAAAGTAACATCCATCCTCATAAACGTGAAAAAATGAAATTTAGGGACGAAATGATTTTTTTTTAATTATGGGAATTGATGTAGCTCTCCTTGGGATACATGGTAGGGTACATGCACTTTTGTGATGTGTTCAGTCAAAAAGTAACATCAATCCTCATAAACGTGAAAAAAATGAAATTTAAGGACGAAATGATTTTTTTTAATTATGAGGATTGATGCTGCTCTCCTTGGGATACATGCTAGGGTACATCCACTATTGTCATGTGTGAAGTCGAAAAGTAACATAAATCCTCATAAACATTAAAAAAATGAAATTCAGGGAAGAAATTAAATTTTTCAAAATTATGAGGATAGATGCCGTTCTACTAGGTAGGATACATGGTAGGGTACATGCACTTTTGTGATGTGTTCAGTCGAAAAGCAACATCAATCCTCATAAACGTGAAAAAATGAAATTTAGGGACGAAAATGATATTTTTTTAAAATATGAGGATTGATGCTGCTCTCCTTGGGATACATGGTAGGGTATATCCACTTTTGTCATGTGTTAAGTCGAAAAGTAACATAAATCCTCATAAACGTAAGAAAAAGAAATTTAGGGACGAAAAAGACTTTTTTTAAAATTATGAGGATTGATGGCGCTGTCCTTGGGATACATGGTAGGATACATCCAGTAAAGTGATGTGTTCAGTCAAAAAGTAACATCAATCCTCATAAACATTAAAAAAATGAAATTCAGGGAAGAAATTAATTTTTTCAAAATTATGAGGATAGATGCCGTTCTACTAGGTAGGATACATGGTAGGGTACATGCACTTTTGTGATGTGTTCAGTCGAAAAGCAACATCAATCCTCATAAACGTGAAAAAATGAAATTTAGGGACGAAATGATTTTTTTTCAAATTATGAGGATTGATGGTACTCTACTTGGGATACTTGGTAGGGTACATGAAGTTATGTCATGTGTTCAGTTGAAAAGTAACATCAATCCTCATAAACATGAAAAAATGAAATTTAGGGACGAAAATGATATTTTTTCAAATTATGAGGATTGATGGCGCTCTACTTGGGATACTTGGTAGGGTACATGAAGTTATGTGATGTGTTCAGTGGAAAAGTAACATCAATCCTAATAAACGTGAAAAAAATGAAATTCAGAGACGAAAATGACTTTTTTCAAACTGTCAAGATTGATGCCGCTCTGCTTGGGATAAATTGTAGGGTAAATGCAGTTATGTGATGTGTTCAGTTGAAAAGTAACATGCATGCTCATTAACGTAAAAAAATAAAATTTAGGGACGAAAATGACTTTTTTTATATTATGAGCATTGATGCTGCTCTCTTTGGGATACATGGTAGGGTACATGCACTTGTGTGATGTGTTCCTTTGAAAAGTAACATTCATCTTCATCAATGAAAAAATGAAATTTAGGGACGAAAATGATTTTTTTTCAAATTATGAGGATTGATGGCGCTCTACTTGGGATACTTGGTAGGGTACATGAAGTTATGTGATGTGTTCAGTGGAAAAGTAACATCAATCCTAATAAACGTGAAAAAAATGAAATTCATGGACGAAAATTACTTTTTTCAAATTATGAGGATTGATGCGGCTCTACTTGGGATAAATTGTAGGGTACATGCAGTTATGTGATGTGTTCAGTTGAAAAGTAACATGCATGCTCATTAACGTAAAAAAAATGAAATTCAGAGACGAAAATGACTTTTTTCAAACTGTCAAGATTGATGCGGCTCTGCTTGGGATAAATTGTAGGGTAAATGCAGTTATGTGATGTGTTCAGTTGAAAAGTAACATGCATGCTCATTAACGTAAAAAAATAAAATTTAGGGACGAAAATGACTTTTTTTAAATTATGAGCATTGATGCTGCTCTCTTTGGGATACATGGTAGGGTACATGCACTTGTGTAA